TTCACCGGCGACAACAAACACATGTCCGTCCATAACTTCCTGGATCGAGTGGCAGAGTTGCAGTTGGCCCGTAGCGTTTCCGACCAGGAATTGTTTGTGTCCGCCATCGATTTGTTTTCCGGTAAGGCGCTAATGTGGTATCGTACCAATCGATCCCGGGTTGATTCCTGGGCTTCCCTATCGGATTTGCTTATCAAACATTTTGAGCCTCCCGATTACCGCGCTAGGCTGTTTAGGGAGTTATTGGATAGAACTCAGGATACTTCCGAGGGTATTGTAGATTATTTGTCGTCAATGAAGGCTCTTTTCCAACGTTATGGGACCCTCCCTGAAGAAACACAATTAGACATGGTGGTTCGGAACTTGGCTCCTTTTTATTCCACCCAACTTCCCATCGTAAGATCTTTCGCTGAGCTGGAAGACGAATGCCTCCGTGTAGAAGCCAAAAAGTTCAGAGCCGATCAGTACGTCCCACCAACCAGGAGACGACACACCTTGGTCGAGCCGGACTTCGCTTTTGTGTCTGCACCTTCAACTCACGCATTCGCAGTTGCTCGTGATGTTCCCACGTCATCGGGAATTCCGGTTTGCTTCCAGTGCCATAAGCCCGGCCATTTTAGGCGAAACTGCCCGACTCGTCAGAGACACTGTTACAAGTGTGGTACGCCAGGCGTGACAATAACAAATTGCCCAAATTGCCCTGCATCGGGAAACGGACCCCGGAGGAACCAATAGGTCGGTTGGCTGCCTCCCCTTTCGAGTTTACACCAACTCCCTCGGAAAACGACTCTCATTTCTTTACTGGCCGAGCCGCCCTAGATTATATTCTCGCCCATGCGAATGGCGACGAGCGCCCTTACTTAAGGATTTCTGTCCTGGGTTGTCCTATGTTGGGTCTGTTGGACTCCGGAGCGTCGCGAACCATTGTAGGTCGGTCTGGACATGATGTTTTGGTAAAGTTAGGCCTAAAACTCGTTTCGCAACCCACCGTTTGTACCGTTGCTAATGGTCAACGCTGTTCTAGCGCTGGTTACTTTTGTGTCCCAATGTCGTTAAGGGACAAGACTCATTGTGTGGAAGTTGTGTATCTCCCTGAGCTGTCACACTCTTTAATCTTAGGCGTGGATTTCTGGAAAGCGGTGGG